CGTGGCCTCCAACGGCCGTCATCGCGGAAAAAACAGAGAAACGATCTCCAGACACCTCCCCCTCTCCAGATGTGCGTGTTCAGCGCAGGGGACGACGCACAGTGGCACGCCCAGGTGGTCTTGAGCGAGTTGGCGGGGATCTGCTCTCCCCTTCCCGGCCGACGTCGGCGCCACGGCGCCGTCGACTAGCGCCGCGCAGGGCCGTCCCCCCCGGGACGACACAGGCGCGGTCTCTGGTCTCGAGTCCCCGGTTGGATCTAGTGGAAAGATTTGTGTGTACCCTCTCGTAGCGTTGTTCCCTATGGCCGAAGAAGGAAAACGGCATTCGGAGCTCCGCGCGGACTTCTTGGATCGGCGCCGGCCCCCCCCTGGCGGCGCCTGCGGCGCCGATCCAAGACATCCGCGCGGAGGTCCGAAAGTTTATGTTTATACCGTTCTTTCTTTTTTTCGGGATCCCGCAAAAAGGGGTGTGTGCCCCAGTGTGTGTGTGTGTGTGAGAGAGAGAGAGAGAGAGTTCGATCGGTTTTTGCACCGAACCGCCCACAACAGATGCCCCCAGCCGCCGGCAGCTCCCGATGGTTGTCGATAGGTGGGGCATGCGGGGGGAATCTGTTTGCGGGAGGTCGGTGCACCAACGGATCGAACTCATGCCCCCCCTCAGGAGCACCCCCCCTTCCTGGTGGATCCCGATCTTCTGCTCTCGTGGCGGGGCTCCCTGTGGACGGGCACTCCGCTGCTCGCCGCGGTGGCTCTCGCCCTCTGTCAAGGGCGCAAGAAACGCCCCCTACCCTGGTTGACGAGGCGCTGTGCGCCCAATCTCTTGAGAGCTGGCAGGGCAAACCCTGGGTATATAGCGCGTCCTGGCGGCTTTCTGGCTTTTCGGCGCTCCCAGGAGGCTTACATTCAGGAGGGGGAAAAACACACGGACACAATTCATCGTCGATTCCCGGGGAGATATGCGAAAATACAGGATGTGGGGGGGAAGACAAAAACCCAGAAAGTATGGGAAAAGAGGGTCCCAGGGCCCCTTCATACATGCCAAGCACTTCTAACCCAGGGTAGGGGCGCTTCTCTAACCCTGGGCTCTGTCCGGTGCGCTGCGCATCTCGCCGGGCCAGCCGCGGAGTCCCCGTGCGTCGGCACGGCGCCGCCCGAGGCGCCGCGGCGCCGCACGGGGCGCCCCACGGGCGACAATCGGCGCGCGCTCTTCGGATGGGCCGAGTGTCCACCAGTGCCATAGGAAGGACGGGGGAGAAGGGAGGATTGGATTGGAAGGTCCTCCTCCTCCTCCTCCTCCTCCTCCTACCTATGGTGGTGGTGGAGGGAATTCGGCCCATCATCTTTCCTTGCCCTCCTCCGCCGCAGACATATATGCTCATAATACACCCGCCAATGGGTTTTTCCTGGGTCTCAGGGGAAGGTGGCGGTGTATAGATCACCACTGGGAGCCAGGGATCGTATACACCGCCGCCCTCCCTGAAGGTACATACGAAATTCCTCGGAGGGTGCCAGTGTATATGTATGCATGTACGTTTGTAATGTAGGCATGTATGTATGCATGCACGCATGTTTGCATGTATGTATGTATGTATGTATGTATGTATGTATGTATGTATGTATGTATGTATACATGCATGTATGTATGTATGTATGTACGTATGTATGTACGTATGTACGTATGTAGGTATGTAGGTATGTAGGTCGGTAGGTCGGTAGGTAGGTAGGTAGGTAGGTAGGTAGGTCGGTATGTATGCATGTATGTATGTATGTATGTATTTATGTATGTATGTATGTATGTGTGTATGCATGTATGCATGTATATATGTATCTATGTATGTATGTATACATGCATGCATGCATGCATGTATGCATGTATGGATGTATGTATGTATGTATGCATGTATGTATGTATGTATGTATGTATGTATGTGTGTGTATGCATGTATGCATGTATGTAGATATGTATATATGTATGTATGTATGTACATATGTATGTATGTATGCATGTATGTAGGTATGTATGCATGCATGTATGTATCTATGTATGCATGCATGTATGCATGTAAGTATGCAGGTATGTATGTATGCATGTGTGTATGTATGTATGTATGTATGCATGCATGCATGCATGCATGCATGTATGTCTGTCTGTCTGTCTGTCTGTCTGTCTGTCTGTCTGTCTGTCTGTCTGTCTGTATGTATGTATGTATGTATGTATGTATGCATGTATGTATGTCTGTCTGTCTGTATGTATGTGTGTGTATGTATGTGTGTATGTATGTATGTATGTATGTATGTATGTATGTATGTATGTATGTACATATGCTTGTATGTATGCTTGCATGTGTGTGTATATATACACATTTTGTATATATATATATATATATATATATATATATATATATATACCGGGGAACCGGACCTGGGGCCGCCAGATTGGTGCCTCGGACCCCCATGGGGGCCACGGGGCTCCAGGACGCTCCCGGGGGCCCGAACCTCGACCACACATGTGGAGCCCGGGGCCCGGGCCGCCTCTGAGAGGGCTGAAATCGCCGTCGGAAGCCCTCCGACAGCCGTCCCGGCAGCCCTGGACGTTCTCGACAAGTTCCCCAGACCGCCTCCAGGCGTCTCCATCCGCCCACGATACGTTTAAAACTACCCAGGAAGCCCCCCCAAGACGTCCCAAGACGCTTCAAGATGCCGCCCTAGAGCGGCCCGAGAGGCCCAAATCGCTGATTTCCATTAGTTTTTTTTAATTGTGTTTTTGGTATTCTCCCTGTTTCGGCTTTCCGACGCTCCAAGACCGCCCAAGAGGCCCCCGAGACCGCTCGAAGACGGCCCCAGTGGCCCCCAAGAGAGCCCCAAGACGGCCCAAGAGAGCCCCAAGACTGCCCCCAGACTCGCCCAAGACGGCCCAAGAGAGCCCAAGAAGGCACCAGGAGCCCTCGGACAGCCGTCCCGGCGGCCCCAGACGGTTTCGAGACACTCCGAAGACCGCCTCCAGGTGTCTCCAGCGACCCGCGATGCGTCTTAAGCTGCCGAGGACGTCCCCCAAGACGCCCCGAGAGGCGTGAAGATGCCGCCGACGAGCGGCCAGAGAGGCGAAAATCGTTGATTTTCATGCGTATGTTCAATGTTTTTGCTTCCTCGCTGCGTTGATTTCCCGACGCTCCAAGACCGCCGCAGAGGCTCCCTAGACCGCCCCAAGACGGCCCAGGAGCCTCCAACGGAGCTCCTAGACGGCCCAAGAGAGCCCCAAGACTGCCCCCAGACCCGCCCAAGACGGCCGAAGAGGGCCCGTAGAAGGCCGCAGGAGCCCTCGGACAGCCGTCCCGGCGGCCCCAGACGTTCTCGAGACGCTCCCAAGACCGCCTGCAGGTGTCTCCAGGGGCCCACGATGCGTCTGAAGCTGCCGAGGACGTCCCCCAAGACGCCCCAAGAGGCACGAAGATGCCGCCGACGAGGGGCCAGAGAGGCGAAAATAGTTAATTTTCAGATGTTTTTTTCTATGTGTTTTGCTTCCTCGCTGTTTCGGTTTTCCGACGCTCCTAGACCGGCCCAGAGGCTCCCCAGACCGTTCCAAGACAGCCCAAGAGACCCCCAAGATAGGCCGAAGACGGCCCAAGAGAGCCTTAAGACTGTCCCCAGGCCCGCCCAAGACAGCCCAGGAGAGCCCCAAGAAGGCGCCAAGAGCGGCCCAAGAGAGGGAAGGAACACGCACCGAACAGTCGAGCTCTCCGCCCCAGGAAGCCCCCATAGGCCCCGAAGACAGCCCAGAAGGCCACTAAGAGGCCCCCAAGAGGCCCAAAAGAGGCCTCGAGAGGCCCCAAAACGGCTTCCGAGAGGCTTCAAAACTGCCTACCGAGGTCCCCCAAACATGCTCCGGAAACGCGCTGCCGGAGCACGTTGCCGCCTCTCCTTCCAGCGTTCGGTGCCTAATGAAGACTTCAGTGGACAACCGTGCACCCAAAGCTCCAGCCTTCTACCTCAAGAGGCCGCCAGGAGGCCCCACGAGGCCGCCCAGAGGCCCCCAAGGCGCTCCCAGGAGATCCCCTCAGAAGCGGTCTCCAAAGGTTCTTGGGCCGTCTGCCGGCCACTCTGGGCGTATTCTGGTACGACGCCTCTCGCACAACATGCTCCGGAAACGCGCTGCCGGAGCACGTTGCCGCCTCTCCTTCCAACGTATGCATGTATGAACGTATGTATGTGTTTGTTTTCCGTGTGTATTCATGCATGCATCCATGTATGCATGGATGTATGTATGTATGCATGTACATTTACACACACGTATGTATATATATATATATATATACATGGATCCAAGCATACATACATGCATACATATAACGTATTTGGTCTGGTCGCGTGCTTGCCACTTCTTGAACTCATGTTCGCTCGATCTGTGGGCCTTCCATGCGTGCAGCTTTGACCTTGTCCAAGCCTGGGGCTGGCTAGAACCTAAGCGCGCGAAGCGCGCGCGAAGGTTCTAGTATATATATATATATATATGTGTGGATTGGTGGCGTACCTCCCCCTCCAGGAGCCACCTCGATCCGACCGATCCGATGCGATCTCGACTCTGGCCGGCCCGACTCGATCCGAGTCCGATCATGCCGACGCAGCCAGTGCGGCTCCACGCTTGCCTGGTGCTGCTGTGCATCCCGGCGCAGCCGACCCGTTTCGATCTCGACCCCTCAGCCTGCGTTGCCCGATCCGACGCGCGATCCGATTCGATTTAGAGTCGGGCATGCCCCTCTACAGGAGGAGTACTCAAAAATAGTCAAAACATAGTCTTGGGACGATTCTTCTCGTATTTTTGATTATTTGGGGATATGTTTTTGACATTTATTCATTTCTTCCTGAGGACATGCCCGACTCAAGATTCGATCCGGTCTCCTCACTCGTTGCCAATCGATCCTGCCGGCCCCGAGCCAGACCAGCCACGACTGGGCCAGACTGGGGCAGGTCGAGGATAAACCCGCTCCAGAGCGTTCCAGGACGCTCTCATGAGCGTCCCCGAACGCTCCCAGGAGGCTGCGGCGCCCGAGACATCCTCCAGAGAGCTGCCGGATCTCAGAGACTCTCGAATTATCCTCACTCGAATTTATCCTCGTCCTGTCAGCCACGTGCAGAGGTGGGTGGGGAGAGGGGGGAGTGCTTCTTAGAAGCACTCCTGTTTCTTAGAAGGCGCGGGCCTTGTCTATAGATGCAAGGCCGCCGCCTTCTAAGGAGCAGCCTCCTTCTGAGAAGCCCTCCCCCCTCCCTCCACCCCCTTGTGCGCGTCGCCAGGTCTGACCGAGCCAGACCAGCGACAACTGGTCTTGAGGGAGCTGCGGTCCTCCACTCCCCAGGGGGGGCCCGTCGGACTCGGCGCCCCTCCCGAGAGGTCGTCGGCGCGGTGGGTGTCCCCTCGCGGTGAGCGTCGACGCCGTCGTGCAGCTAGCTCCCGGTCGTTGCTGCCGCTTCCGGCGAGCGCCAGGTGAGCGCGCCCCAGGAAGCGGTTCGTCTGCGCTGGCATTGTTGCGCAAGCTGCCCGCGTAGGTCAAGCAGTGGCGAAGCGTCCTGGCTTGCCTGTGGGCCCACCAAATAATGTTCTAATAACCTTTCGTGCTTTGCACGAAATGTCCCTAGAACATTTCTGGTAAGAGCTTTGGTATGTTATTAGAACAATTGCTGGGTTCTAAGAACATGACTTGGTAGGCCCTCATGAATGCTGGGGCGGTCGGTCTCTGCTCAAGTAGGGTCGCGCGTGGGTGCCCTCGCTTCCGATGGGGCATGCCGCGCTGGCGGCCCACGTGAGCCGCAGCGTGGGGTCCGCTGTGCCATCTCGTATGAGGCCTCTTTCTTTTCGTTGCCAAGGCGGAGGAGGAGGAGGAGGAGGAGGAGGAGGGCGAGGAGGAGGAGGAGGAGGAGGAGGAGGGAGAGGAGGAGGGCGAGGAGGAGGAGGATGATGATGAGGAGGAGGAGGGAGAGGAGGAGGAGGGGGAGGGGGAGGAGGAGGAGGAGGAGCTCCCCGAGCCGGGGGCTTCTCCAGGCTATTGCTTCCACGGTCCGCTCGGGACGTGCGCCGGGGCCCTCACGAGGGGCCCGCTGCCCCTCCCTCTGCCCATGCCTTCTTGCCGTGGGCAAGGCATTCTTTTCGTGGCCCGTGTTCGGGGGGCGATCTCTGGCCGCCATACCCGCGCGCGTACCTTGTACCAGATCAGCTTGTTCGTCGAGGCGGTGTGCAAACATCGCGTCCCCAGGGGATGCCGATTTTGCACACAGCCACCTCCCAACCGTCTCGCCGGACCAGCTTGTTTGTGGGGGGGTGCAAAAGTCGTGCTCCCACAGTGAGGTAGCTCAATGGCTCAGCAGCTCAGTGGCTTCGTGTCTGCGCCGCCGTGTTCTGCGTCCGCTCCCTCTCCTCCCCTCCAACCAAATAAGTACTAGCAGTTAGTGTTATGTCGGGCGTGTCCCCCTACAGGGGGATTTTCGACGAAAAATAAAAAATACCCCAAAAATATTCCAAGAAGGTAAAAAATACTCCAAAAATAGTCCCCGGACTATTTTTGGAGCATTTTTTGATTATTTTTGGGGGTATCTTTCATTTTTCGTCGAAAGTCCCCCTGTAGGGGGACAGGCCCGACTTGAAGTCAGTGCTCCCGCAGGTGGAGGTGCAGGTATGCGAGAGGATCGTCAAGCGGCCTGACCAGTACAGGCTGCAATTTGGCATCGTTTGGTATCTCTTGGAAGCGAGGGTGGTCAAAAGCGAGGTAGGTCTGTTTTCCCCCTGTGGTCCCCTCCAACCAAAGAAACAACTAGCAGTTAGTGCTCCCGCAGGTGGAGGTGCAGGTGTGCGAGAGGATCGTCGAGGTCCCGCAGGTCCAGACGGTGGAGAAGATCGTCGAGGCCGCGGCCCGCTCTCGCGCGTCGCGGCCTCGCGCCCCCCGCGGCTCCCGCGGCTGCCTCCTCCCCCCCCCCCTGGGCCGCGCCGAAGTCGACGCGGGCGCGCCCCGCGCCTCTTACTGGAGTCATAAGGAGTCGTTTTGGGGGGTCGCTCTGCATCGTCGTCGTCCTCCTCCTCCTCCTCCACCTGCCTCCTCCTCCTCCTCTTCCGTCCTCTTCCTCCTCCTCCTCCTCCTCCTCCTCCCTCCTCTGTCCTCCGTCCTCCACCCTCCCTCTTCCTCTCTCCTCCCTCTTCCTCTTCCTCCTCGTCCTCCCCATGGCCTCCTCGTCCTGGTGATGCTGCCCCTATTCGAGGCTAGGGCCTCAAGGACACGGCTCGGCGGCAATGCTGGCGGTCCTGCGCATTCGCCATCTGTGTTTGCCCAGCTTACCCATCGGACGTTGAAAGTAGATATCTTGGGATTCCCACATTCCAATCTACTTTAAGCGCCTTCCTACTTCAGTGACCGAGTGGCTCCACCTTTTCCATCCTCCCAAGGGGGCGGACGGAAGCCAAACCATGTTCAACGCCTACTTCTTCCGACCGATGGGTATTGTCGTTGATATGTGTGCCGATGGTGCGAAAGGGGGGATGACGTTGATAGCGCATTAGCTCTTTCGTGCGTGAGCTTATCCGTCTTAAATGTACATAGGATAAGGATGAGGTCGCAGCCGGGTCGTCGGCAGTGTGCGAAGCTCTGAAGACGCCCGCAGTAAGCGCCGAATGTTTGTACTGGATGATTTTTCGTCAAATCTACGTGGGTGGGTCCCAGGTGGGTTGCGGATGGGTCGCAGGGTGGGTCGCGGGGTGGTCGCGGGGTGGTCGAGGGCTGCATCGCGGGTGGGTTGCGGGCGGGTCGCGGGCGAGGACGACGACACTGACAAAACAACGCCACGCAACAACGCACCATCAATCCGCCTCGCGGAACCCCACTTCAGCCACGCACCCAGGGACAGTGAATGGCCGTTCGGCCCCCTCATGGGTAACAACATGAGTAACGAAGTCCGTGTTTTGACCCTGCATTCCGCACTGTGCGTCTTGCACTGTGGCCAAGACTGTGTTGAGACAACCTCACAAGAAGTGGTGATACAGTTTGCATCTGATGTTGCCCAAACGGATGCTCCTACGACTCGCGGCCGAAAGGGCCTGGGGGTCACCCTTGTTCATGCCGATAACCTCACCCTGCTTAACATCGAACACGAACAACAACAACAACAACAACAACAACAACAACAACAACAACAACAACAACAACAACAACAACAACAACAACAACAACAACAACAACAACAACAACAACAACAACAACAACAACAACAACAACAACACAACAACAACAACAACAACAACAACAACAACAACAACAACAACAACAACAACAACAACAACAACAACAACAACAACAACAACATCAACAACAACAACAACACCACCACCAACAACAACAACAACTTCAACACCAACAACAACAACATCAACAACAACAACAACACCAACACCAACACCAACACCAACACCACCAACAACAACAACAACGACAACAACAACAACAGCAACAACAGCAACAACACCACCAACAACAGCAGCAACAACACCAACAACAACAACAGCAACAACAACAACAGCAACAACAACAACAACAACGTCATAACCAGAAAGTTGTTGCGCTCCGCACGGATTTCTTGGTTCTCGCTGGGGCCCCCCTGGCGGTGCCTCCGGCGAATCCCTTGGCGCGCTCCGCGCGTTTCTTTTCTAAAAAGGAGACTCCAGGCCTCCCATGCTGACTATTTAAGGGGGATGGGGTGCAACATGCAAGCGGTGGCCTCGGAGGCAGTCCTGAGCACCTCGTAGGGAGCCCCCCACAGGACCTGCAGCCGATCCCCCAGGCACGGATCGGACGAGCCTGCGAAGGTTCTGACGCGAGACGATGTTGTCATTTGGTGACATCCCCACTTCGCGTTAAGTCGGGTATGTCCCTCTACAGGAGGAGCATTCAAACATAGTAAAAATAGTCTGGGGACGATTGTTTGACAAGGTTCGACTAGTTTCGAGTCGTTTTTGACGATGTTAGATGTCTCTTCCAAAATCCGCCTGTAGGAGGACATGACCGACCTAAACTTAGCGTGGTTCCCTTGTTGCAGTATCCTCACTTTCTGGGCGCTGACATGAGTGCGTCTCAAGGTCGTCGGCAGCTTCTTGACCCGTCTCACGGACTTTACCAGAGGGGTCCTTACGCTAGGGACGCATCGCCATTTTTTTGATTTTTCACAGAGGGCCAACGGGGACTGAGTGCGTTTCCATTCTTCCCTGGGCATGCCAACGTCAATAGCCATGCGAATGCCCTCCCCTTTGGGAGTTCAGAAATTCCGAGTAATCTTTCTCAACACGAGAGTTTTGCACATGTGAGGCCTTGGCAATAAAGCGAGCAATAGCGAACATAAACTCTTCTGTCTGGATGCGTCTCTAAGTGTAGTCTTCTACAGTGGTGCAACACTGCAGCCATTGGCCTAGTAGGTCCCTGGAAAACTGCGAGTCATCATCATCATCATCATCATCATCATCATCATCATCATCATCATCATCATCATCATCATGCAAAGCGGCAGAGGCGAACTGTGCTACATTTCCATCTCGGATGCGATGAGCAGTGGAGAAGACCTGATTGACCTGTAGTTTGAAATCCTCAGCGCGAGAAAGGTATGACATATGTTTAATGAATTATTCCGAATCCTGATGGAGGAGAAGAGAGGGGCGGAGATGTAAGGGCGTCTGACTCTAACCTCTTTTGTCTCGCCCACAGCATCTTGCCGCTTCCTTGTTGATGACCTCCACAGACCTACTAAATTACGAAGCTGAGCGTTGCCATTGCACTGCCATTTGTCGAGCGCAAAACCTTCTCACGCAAACTGAAAATCGCGCCTGCGCTGAGCATCGGATAGCTTTCTGCGGTCAAGGGGAGCCGATTCTGATTTGACGATGGATGCTTCTTGATTCCACTCCAGAAGACACGAGACAGGAAAGTGACCCGCATGTTCACGAAGCACCTCCAGGCCGTGGACCACTGTGGTGCTGCTCATGTAACCAGCGAAGTCTCTGGAGAGGAGGACGTAGTCAATCCCGGTGAGTCCAGCTCCCTTGGATGCGAAAGTGTTTCCCTCACCTGTCGTGTTAAAGGTGTTGGCTGCAAGCAACTGCTGGTCGAGAAGAGATTCATGCATGAGCTCTCCGCTGTCGTCCTGCTCCTCGCAGAAATCTTCCTGCCCAACCGAGGCCGAGACCGCCGAGCCCAATGCAGTATTGGCATCTATAAGAACGATTCCGGAAGGCCACTTGTCATCCAACAGCCCCGGGCTCGCACGATCCAGGGATGCCGTCGGTGAGGCGCGTGAGCGACACAGATATTGCAGTTATGGCCAGGAACAGTGCAACGCACAATGAGAATACGGGGCGAGGGGAACAAAACAACAAGTGCTTGACCTGAGGTTCCTTGTCTTTGATTTTGCCTTAAGACCAACAGGTCGACCCAAAGTTCCGTACCCGCCGCCTCATCCTCCTTCTCCTCCTACCCTCCTCCTCCTCCTCCTCCTCCTCCTTCTCCTCCTTCGTTCCTTTTCCTCAAAGATAACTCCTCCGTGTCGCACCCCGAGGCCGGTCGAAAGGGCGGGCTGTGCGTTTCGCCTGAGATTTCTTCACCGTGTATGACCCTGAGCTCAAACATTGGGCCTGAGACTTCCTCACCATGTATGGCCCTGAGCTCAAACATTGGCAACAACGTCACAGATGGAGGGCGAGTGATTTTCAAATGTGGCTCTCGCCGTGGCGCCGCGTACATTCGTTTTTTTATAAACCAAAAAATGGACGAGCTTCACGGATTGAGGGCGGGCGGTGTCCAACATGTGTCTCTCGTCTTCGCGCCGCGCACGCTCGCTTTAAGCAGTTGCAAGAGCCTCACGGATTCAGGGCGGGAGCGCCGCGCACATTCTTTTGTACAAATTGCAAGAGTTTCACGGATTGTGAGCGGGTGGTTTTCCAAATACGGTTCTCGCCTTAGCGCCGCGCACATTCATCTTTATACATTGCGAGAGTTTCGCAGATTGTGGGCGGGCCATTTTCAACATGCGGCTCTCGCCTTAGCGCCGCGCGCATTCGTCTCACACAAATGCAAGAGCTTCACGGATTGAGGGCGGGTCGTTTTCAAAGTGTGTTTCTCGCCGTAGCGGAGTTTTGCGGATTCCAATGGTCAACGACCAGAAATGGTGTTCTTGCACGATTCTGGATTGTGAGGGTGCAGCAGTTACTTTCATTCGCAGTGTTGAAGTCCCAGGAATGGTGTTCTGGCGCCTGGCGCGATTCAGGATCGCCAAGACGTAAGAATCAGGTTGATCCGCGGCGTTTGAGTCCCGATATTGGAGGTTTGGCATGCTTCAGGGTCTTCAAACAGTTTTCGCCCAACGAGGCAGTTCCCTTAGTGGAATTGAACTCTTGTAGGGACCCACGACGAGGGAGCTTGGAGGGAGGGTTTATTCCAACATCGTTGATGAGTTTTGGGTTTGCACTGGTCCTTCTCTTCCTCCTCCTCCTCCTCTTCCTCCTCCTCCTCCTCATTCCCCTCCTCCTCCTCCTCCTCCTCCTCCTCCTCCTCCTCCTCCTCCTCCTCCACCGCCTTCCACGCTCCCCCCTCCCGCCTCCTCCTCTCCTCCTCCCCCCATGATCCCTCCTCCTCCTCGCCCTCCTCATCCTCCTCCTCCTTCCTCCTCCACCTCCTCCTCCTCCCCTCCTCCCCTTCCCCCTCCCTCCCCCCTCCCCCCCCCCACCCCCCGTAGATCTCCGCGGGCAGGCCTCGGGAGGCCCTCCCGGGAGGGACGGGCCGCAGAGGGTGTCTCGGGGTCATCTGGCGGCGCGCACGAGGGGGCGGGGGGGAGGGGGGGGGGACTCGGCATCGCTGGGACGTGTGCATTTTTTTCCTTCGGCGAGGGACCATCGAGGAGCATCCCTGATCACTTGGCGAAACGACCACGCGCGAAAAAACGAAAACAACAACACAGGGAGTAGACGTGCGAGCGATGGCCAGGGGAGGCCTTCTTAGCAGGCGTTCTCCGTGCTGGCATCGGCGATGGGGTGCGACCCCTCCCCGATGCCATATGCATTTTCTGTCCCCGCCGGAGAGGCCTCCGAGCTCCAATCTGTCGTCGCCCGCCTCATTCAGGAGGGAAAAAAACACGCAGGCACAATTAATCGTCGATTCCCAGGAAGATATAGGAAGATATGGGAAGTGGGGGGGAAGACAAAAACCCAGAAAATACGAAAATATATGGGGAGTATTTTTATTTGTGTGTATTTATTTGTGTGTCTCAGGGCCCCTTCACTCATGCTTCGTGCGCCTCCCGCCTCCGCCCCTTCGCAGGCCTAGAGATGGACACCAACACCAATATCGGCGGTGTTCCTCCACCGCGGGAAGAAAGATCCCGATCTCGGTGATGGTGGTAATATGCTGGCTTCCAGGGTGGCCGACATATTGCCACCAGCACCGAAATCTAGGATCACCTTCCCCCCTGTGGAGGCAACCCCCTGT